TCTAATCCTGTGCAACAAACATTACCACGTCGAAGGGGAAAATAATGATCTGATTGATATCTTGCAAATAACAATTGTGCTAAAGCAGAGAAAAGGAGTCTGATGAGTACAACAGCACACAGGACATTCATCCCTTTACTGAGAGAGCAAACCCTGGAGAAAGGGGAGTTTCTGGGTTCAGAGGAGGTGTTGGTTTCCATTTTGGGTGTGTTTAGTTCCTGAAAGACATCGCAATGGGGAGGGTCCTGGGATAAATATTTTCAGGCACATGGATGGAAGAGCTTGGAAGTCAGGTCTGCAAAGCAGATATGTACACAAGAATCATTCCACTACCTGAGCAGATGAGACTGGGGAAAGTGTTCTTACACTCTGAGTGTGCTTCCATGTAACTCTCAACCTCGGGGGACCTGAATTGGAAAACTCACTATTGACAGAGGCGCCCTTTGCTGGAAGCTGCTTGTACATAGTGACTGACTTCAGCTCCGCAGGCCCTCGACCTGCTCCTTTACTTGGACAACAGTTTTCACTCCTTACAGGTTCTTCAATTATTTTGATCTGTCTCTTTCTCTGCATAATTTCTTTGGTGCTTCCTTCCCATATTGTTGTTATTATTGTATTTGTTGCCATTTGCAGAATTTTCTCTAATTTTTCTCCATAAGGTTATCCACTTTCTATGTGTCTTCTACTTTCTCCTTTTCTGTTTCTTTGGGTTTTATCTTATGCTCCTAGATGCTGGTAAAATATCCCTTATTTTATGTATTTTCCTCATTCTCAAAGTTCTTTTCTCTCAAGTTGGAAAAGATCTTCTGTTTACACAAGGGCTATAGCACCACAGGTCCTTCCCTTGTCAGTGCCATCCCAAGAGTCTCCCTCATGACTTTCTCAATTGCAAGACTTCAGTCTTTCACAAAACATGTCTGTGCTCCAGATCCTTCTAGAATTAGGCTGAAAACATTCTCCCCTGCTTCAGTTGCCATAATCTGCTGTTATGTAGGTTTAATGTGTGTTTAATAACATCACCCAGGCACTTCTCCTCTGGCGCCCAGGCCTACCTCTGGTATATTCATTCTTCCTATGTGCCCCATGCAGAAATATGGTCCCCACTCAGGGGCTCAGCTCACCTTGATCCTTTGTCTCTCTCACAGTTTTCAAAAAGGCACAACAGAAAGTTGATATAATTCCATCTGTATGTATGCAAATGTGAAGAAGGGAAAGGTAGGATGGGAGAAAGGGAAACTTTTTTTCCATGCCAACTAGAAAACAAAGATGTACTGAAAAATTTAAAAACTTAAATCAGAATTACCTTCTCCTTCATCTGGTAGACAGGGCCCCTTCTCTGGTTCTCCTTCATTAGTGATTTGCGGAGTTTTTAGATCAAAGGTCTCTGCAGAGAAACAATAAATTGACAGACCACAGAGGGTGATGTGGACACAGACCTCAGTGCGTTCACGCCATCCAAGATGGGCAAACGCTGACAGCCACCCTCGTCTTGCTCCACCTTTTCTCCATCTTGTTGCATCTCCTCTTTCTCCTTCTCTCTAATTCTCAGTGTCCTCCTCACAATTCTGCCTCCACACAATTCCCTCCTAGCTGGGCAGCACTTGGATTGTCTGGTCTTCTCTCCAACTGGCTTCTCCTGCTTCCTGTTTCTAAGTCTTTTTTCTTTTTCAGTAATACTGTATCCCTTTTCTGTTATTTCTTTAGCTCTTATTCTATATCCATCCTATGCCAAAGGGCAGACTCTATTTCCATGCTGTGTTTCCATGGTTTCCCTTCCCTCCCACTAGCATTTTTTTTTTCCCTTAAAGCCTCATATTGGTCCCTGGTCCACTCCTCCGGGAATCTACAGAACTCCTTGGGCTTCTTTCTATTCTGACCCTGTGACCCTGCCCTGAACCCCCAGCTGGCTTTGCACAGCCATCACCCAGTGACACATCCAGGACACTGGTGCCCACTCTTCCTTTTCTACTTTGCCTTTGCGATAATATCCTGCTTGCATTTCTGTGCTTTATTTCCCAGTCTGTAAGATAGACGTT